AATAAGCAATTTTAACAAAAACAAAAGAATAGACAAGAAAAACTATTTACCGATAGTCTTTTTCTGTGATAAACGATACGTAAAACCACCTGTATTAAAATCACTATTCATTGAACCAATAGAAAGAATAAGATCTGCATCATAAACTTCTTTCTGAACTCGTTCTGTTGAACAATTTCCTGCAAAAACACCACAAAATTGTGGATGATTTTCATTAATACCACCTTTAGCCATAGGTGTTACATAAATAGGTAATTGAGTACGTTCAATAAATCTTAAAACTGTTTTCATCATGTCATGTCGAATAGCACATCTAATATTAAAAAACAAAATTATATGATGAAAATAGAACAATTAAAATTACGATAATTGTGTTACTTACGCATCAACAATAACAACAATACGTTCAACCTTTTTAACACACTCAAGTATATTTTCAAGAGCTGCTTGATGTTCAAGTTTTGGATTATGTGTAATTGATAAATTAAGTGGTTTAATAGATGATGGATCAACATTGATTTCATAATCACTAAGATCTAGAGCTAAACCAATATAAACTGGTCGACCTTTAAGCAAACTTAACACGAAGAAACAAAGTATTTACGGTTATTCGTCATAACGAAGATTCTTACCATTGAGTAAGAACACGATCGATCTCATCTACAGCATTTGTTTTTGTTAAATTTGCTTGAGCAAACTATGGACATATTTCGAAATGTTAATTTCATATTCAGAACATTATTTACTGTAATTTCTTTATACATATTTGCAAAAACTCGAAAATCACCATTACCAAGTGTATGATGAAGAATAGCACCACTGGCTTGTGATGCAGTTGGAGGTGTTCCAACAATATGTACTACTGGTACCATTTCAGCATATGAACCAGCAATACCTTTAAATATAAAAGATTATTTTCAAAAAATATAATCAAATAATTACAACTTTACCATTCATAGCCGAGAGTTCACCGACACCAAATGTTGTAACGAGAGCCTGCATAATTATATGCAAAACAAAAAAAACTGGTAGAATATTCTACACATATGTAGATTAACTTACACCAATGCCTCGAATACGAGCATATCCATCGGCAGCATATGATGCATTTAGCTCATTGCAATTATTGCCCCATTGAATAGCACCAAAATCTATTATCGAAATAAAGAGTATTGATAAGCATGATTTTCATTGGAAATCGTACCTTCGATCTGATCAAGAAATGGCTAGAATAAAAGCAAGAGTAATCAAATTTAGATACGAAAAAATGATAGAAATTAGAGATACTATACCAAGTTATAATCACCAGGCACTCCAAAAATAATGTCAATACCTAACGATTTCAATCGTCGAAGTAAATAATTACCAATAGTCATTTTTGAAGACGACATTTCTCACAGAAATAATTAATAAAATTGTTTTATCTGGAATGGAAATAGTGATATATAAAATATGTTAAAAATACCTTTGAAAAGTATCCTATAAGAACGTTGTTTTTGTTAGTTTAAACATATGTAGACCACTGAATAAAAACATTGTAGTGCGCTAACATGTCGACGCCTTTATAGGTTCGAAGAACAGGAGAAAGATACTTTGTACCTTATATATAACGATCTCAGAAAACGCCCGAAAAAGTACGCTTATATGAATCTACATTGGACAATCTGTTCGACCATTTCACGAACATTTGGTTTAGATGTCGCGGTTAGCCGAATCATTACAGTTGGTTTTGACACGAACTGCAATTTCTCCCGGATAACTAAAGGTAAGAATAATATATTGAAATGATCCAGAAGAAAAAAACTAATTACAATTAACATAATAATTGGCAGTCAGAAATTTTTCGAAACAGATCTTTTTACAAAATATTCGCCTTGTTGTATTTGCAAGAGCATTGTCTTGAGGTGTCATCTGTTCCATAAGCTGAGGTAATATGAATTTGCTGGATTCTATCCTGCAAAACAAAAAAGAAAAAGGTAGAAAATTTAAGTGACTTTTATTTCGTGGAACTCACATATATTTTCGAAGAAAATAGTGAGTGTAAGTTTTAAGTTCAAGTTTTCGCAGCTCTCCTCCCCCTCCTTCCATCCCCATTACAGACATATAGCAATGTAGGCCCCCATTACAGGCAGGTCTCCATTACAGACCTTAGCAATTAAGAATAACAGGCGTCAGACTTTCTAGTTTTTTCGAAAAACTGATCAAGTTATAATTTTGAAAGATAATCCAGATCATTGTTTGTGAGTTGATTAATATATATAATAATGCGTAAGATCTTCTGTAGATATCATGGATATATAAAATAGATTTATTTGCCAATTAATTCAATGATTATAATAATAAGAATGTTGAGTTACGAAAAACGATTTAAAATATTAAAAAAAAGAAAGATAATGAGCGAATAGCAACAATGCAAAAGAAAAATAGGGCGCTCTCAAACAAAAAAAATTTTCTGTTTTGAATGTAGACATAAATAACAAAGTCTCGCTCTTGTCATTGATTGTCAATGAAAACAACTACAGTGTACACGAAATTTTTTAGTTTACATATGATGCATTAGAATATTAAGCTTTAAGGATATATGTGAATTTCACAAGGAGAAAACAGCAAACTTGAAGTAGAAAAGTACGGCAAAGTACTTTACTTGAAGTAGGCTAGAAATAAGCTTAGAGTAGCTTAAAGTAGCTCAAAGTAGCACAAAATACTTGAAGTACAAAAATCTGCTGTTTCCCCTTGGAGTTTCACATTTCAGCTCCAAAGAAGCTTCGCTAACAAGCTTTTTTATTTATCCCTAAATACATTGATAAAGCTTAATATTTGATTGTCAATAAAATTGAAGACTTTCTTGTTACAACTGTAGAAAAAATAAGTAAAGTTGTCAAAAATGCAGCTATACACACTAGTTTCTATCATCATAATTCAATTTCAAAGTAAAATCAATGGTATATTCAAGATCAGTGCAAAAAACAATGTCAGATCATCTGAATTTCAGCAAAGATGTTCCAACAAAAAAAGTAGGTGCCCTCGTCTCCGCATTTTTTTGCTCAGTTTTATCCACGCTTTACTCGATGTGCGGTTTTTTTTTGTGAAAACCTTCTTTGTTCAAATATATATGATCTGACATAGTTTTTGTGTTGATTTCGAATATGCTATTTATTTTGGTTTAAAATTGAGTTATGCAGAAAGCATACCGGTTAAATACCGAAGCATTTTTGCATTTTTGTTTTTGTACGGTTTTGTTATTGGAATAAAAGAAAATCAATTTTCTCAATACTAGAACAAAGTCTAAAAAAAACTACAAAGGTACATTTGAATTTTGAATTCGAGTGATTCTAATGAGATAATATACTTAGTTCCAATTATTCTCATGAAAACCTAGATAGATTTACAAAAATGTCCGTTGACATATGTTCTGAGTTATACTCCTACATAAAACTCTTGCTCTTCTACCTTCTCTTCATATTCTATATTATATCTATTTTACCTCAAGTCAAAATTAATTATAAGAATGACGTAAATATTTTATTTCAGTAGAGTATATGATTAATCATTATTTACTTCAATTAAAAATGTCAGTTTTTTAGTGCTATTAGATAATATCGGAAATGAGTCTGTTGACAGAATGCTTCATATGTTAACTGTTTCTTATTTGGAATTTGTTGTAATTATTGTATTGTGTTCGTAGCTGAATCAAAGTCTATATATATCAATCAAAATACAACATAAACAGAAAAGTGATAATCAACACATGAAAGTATTCTACTAATCGATTCATTTCAATTGTAGTAAATAGTACTGAAAGACTGATTAATCATATACTCTACTGAAATAAAGTGTTTAAAAATTGTCCTTGTAATTCATCTTGATTTGAAACCAAATAAATAGGACACAGAATATAACGAGAAGGAGAAAAGTTTTGGTTAAACGATGTATGTTTAAGCTATCTGTATTGAACAGAATGTTTTAACTTTAGTAACTTAAAATACTTAGCGTTATTACAGAAAATATACCTATAAGAAATACTTGAGAAGCTTCGACGAATGGTTAGATTTTTTTATCATAGATTTGACCTTGATCGTAGGTGAACCATTTTCACTAGACAATGATCCAATTGAAATAAAAACTACATATTTGTGATCAGCTTACCAAACCATATATAAATAAACGAAAAATAGAATCCAGTTGAATTGTGCATTTTTCAAACTTTACTTTAAATATGATCAATTCTACCGGCCAAAACATAGATTGTCCTTCGGATAAAGAGTAAAGAGGAGTAGAATTATCAGAATTAACTCGAATCTATTACTTCACAGTGTAAAAAATAAATTGTGACCAATCAACGGCAAACCTTGACATTCAAAGTACTTCAGGCAATTAAGAAAAAATGAATCATTCTTCTCTCCATCTTACCATTCATTTTCTTGCCCTTGCTATTTGCCACACACAGTATTTTGTATCCTTTTTTATCTCCTGTTTCTTCATGTAAATGTTGTTGCTCATGACAATCCGATGTCATAAGTGATTTATTATTGTGGTCCTTCTCGTGAAGGTCTACATAAATCACGGCCAATCTGTTTATCATTGAAAGACTATTTCAATTTCAAAACGTCAACACATTACTATTACTGATATGAAATATTTTTCACTTAAACTAATACAACTTGACATTTCATACATATTCAATGATTCTAAGATGTTTTCCTAACACTTAAATTGAATATGTATTAAATATGTCAATTTATCAAATACAAACAAAACTATATCCGATGATCATGAGCACTTATGCAGTTTTACATTTATTTCAGTTGACAAGCGTTGTACAGACAAACGGGGGCAAAGACAAAAAACTGCTAATAATAATGAGACAAATCACATGAGGAATGTTCCTCTTCCTCACCATGTTAAACAATCTGAAGAGTATTAGAAATATAAAGAACAACAAAAAAAAGATCAGGAAATAACGAGATATAATATACAAAAAAAAATCAAGTAAGGTTATTTTATTTCTTGCGACGTTTTTCACTACTTCGTTCTTCTCGATCATCTGTATTACTGCGTTTTGACGACGAAACAGAAGATGAATTAGCTGATGGGGCTGAACTACCCGTACCACCATGTCGTACATCTTTCAAGAAACCACTTAAACCGAATGGATCTTCTTCACGTTGAAACTGTACAGGACCATCACGTGGTGCCGTTCGATCAGCTCCTTTGAAGCCACGTTCCTGTTCAAATCTAAATAAACAATAACATTCAAATTTTTTTAAATAAATAAAGAAAAGAAACAAAAAAAAAA